TAAAATATAATTAGGATAATCATTGAATTCTAACAGAATACTTATTTATAATCTTTATAAAATGTTATATTATTAAACCAAAAATAAATTATTTCATTATTAAACTTAAATTAAATTATAATAAAAAAATAAATTAAAGATATTACATAAAAAATGAAAACTTTTAAATTGTTGATTTGACATTAATATTAATATATATTTTGGAAAATTTATAATAATAACCATTTAATACGACCATTTGCCACAAAATAACCGGGTTTTTGAGGTTTTTGCTTTTTGACCACCCGGATCGCCGTACATGTGGGGGGCGATCCGTACATAAAGGGTCTTAAAAAAATTCAGCCTTAAAAGACGAGATTACTGTTCACCCTCGAAGACCGAACTTTGACCTCGCCCTGGGGGCGATCCAGACTTTCCCATCGCCCCCAGCGCGATCCAGCCTAAAAATCTTTTTTTTTTTTTTTGTTTTGTAGTATTTTTAATAAAACTGATACCCCGTTTAAGTTTTATTTTTTAACTTTTTTAGAACCAAATTTCATGGGTAAAGGTTTAAAAATAAACCATTATAATTATGGAGACGCAAAAATTATTTTTATCTGATTTGAGTTTCGTAAATCAGATATAAACTCGTACATCTCTTATTTTTTTTACATTTTTTCTACCTCCAATTTCACTATAAATACCAACCTCCTACTTCATAATTTTTCACACATTCCCTTTCATTTCTCTTTTCATATATTCTACTCTCACAACCCTTAACCCATTAAACACAATAAACCATCACAACTTTTAACCTACTAAACACAATCAACTATCACAAAACATGAAATCACGTCAAAGTGATGATATTTGTGTGTATCTTCGAAGTGGCGGTTTATTCCAAGATATAAATGGTGTTTTAGAGTACCTTCCGATAACTTCCCCCACATGTGCAATACGTTTGTCTTCGCCAATAATGTATTTTGGGATCGTCAAACGTGTGACGAAAAAGTTAAGTTTACGTGGTCCTTTCAATTTATTTTTTAAAATGAATACGTTATATCAGTTTATGGACGACGATGATGTGGTAATCCTTCACAATGCCATTCGTCAAACTTTACCAGAAATGTTGACACTATATGTGGTCGACAATGGAGGTTATGGAGGAAATCCATCAAGTGCAAACCCGGTGCTGTGAGCACACTCTTCCCCGACGTTAGCGGTGCAAACCCATATGGTCCAAGCACACTTTTCCCTATCGGTTATGCTCCTGGTGTAAATCAGAGTACTTTCTTCCCTAGCGGTGGAAGTGGTGAAAATCGAAGCACCTTCTTCACTTACGATGGCGCGGGAAATTCATATCTTGAACAAAAAGTTACCGTTAAACCTGATAGTTATTTTGTTCAAGACTTGAACATGCCTCCGATGCAGTCTCCCAACCCGTACCCGATCCGGTCTCCCGAACTGTCAAAACCGTTGTAGGAGGTAGATATGGCAGAAGATGTTTCTGTTGCTGCCAAAATTTTGAACATACCCGAAGATGACGATAACTCCGATTCTGAAGATATAAAGCCGATAAGAAATAGTTTTTGGGGTATGCCCGACCCACCACCTTGTTCGGACCCAGTTATCAAAAGTAGACATGGAAACATTTCCTACCAGCCTACATCCCATGTCAAAGTTCTACAAACTTTTGACTCGAATGAAGCACTTAAGCTCGTAGTGGGATTAAAGTGCGTTCATGAAAACTTTCAGATGAAAGTAAAGAAATCTTCCAAACACCAGTACGAGGTGGTGTGTCACTCAGATTCAGACTGTGATTGGCGTTTGATGGCTGTTTTCATCGATGGTACCAATATTTTTCAGGTATGAAAACTCCACGATGAACACACATGTTCAAGGTCCCAAGTGCATCCAAACCACCGTAATGCGAATAAAAATGTTTTGGGTCATATACTGGTAGGCAGTCTAAAGGATTGTAGGAGAGTGTACCGTGGTAAAGAAATCATGGAAGATGTGAACCAACGGCTCAATATTAGCATCTCCTACCATCAAGCATGGCGAGCAAAGATGTATGCCTTGCAACTGTTGAGGGGTACCCCGGAATCGTCGTTTAACCTACTCCTGGTTTATTGTCACAATCTGAAGCTAGCAAATCCGGGGACTGTGAGAGAGATCGCTCTTGATCCACTTGGACGATTCGACATGTTGTTTGTCGCACTCTTTTGTTCGGTAATAATTTTGTCGTATTTTATAATTATTGTCATAATTTTATGTTCTGAAATTACATTTTTAATCTCGTTCATCTGCAGATTCGATTGTTTCTAGGACACATGAGACCGCTTCTTATAATGGACGGTGCCCATCTGAAGGGGTCGTACGTTGGCACCATGTTCTTAGCGGTCGGCATGGATGGAAACAATGGTATCGTACCCATTGCAATGGGAGTGGGGAAGACAGAAAGTGGCCCGTCATGGACTTGGTTTTTACGTAAGCTTAGGCAGTGTATCGGTGATGTGCCCAATTTAACCTTCGTCACCGATAGGGCTGCCTCTATCGACCTGGTCATACGAACTGTATTTCCTTCTACGCACCATAGACTTTGTTGTTGGCATTTGAGCCAGAACCTCCACCTAAACTCCACTAAAGAGAAAAGAAAATGGTGGATGTTCTGGGAGATATGCAAAGCTTACCGGTTGTCGAACTTTGAAACTACTATGGATTTGATGCGACACAGTCTACCTAGAGCCACTCAATATCTTGAGGAAGTTGGCTACGCTAGATGGGCACGATCGCACTTCCCTGGATTGGGTTACAGTGCAATGACGTCCAATAGTGCTGAGTCCGTCAACTCAGTAACGCGGTTTGCACGCTATCTTACGATAACAATGTTAGTTGAATTTTATCAGGCGACATTGCTAAGTAACATAATTTAATCAAGAAAATTACACCAAAACACAAGAACTTTTAAAAAAATTAATTTAATACTGACATCGATATTTTTTTTCAAAATTTTATGATATTTTTAAATTTATATTTTATTCAAAAATAAAAATATTACCACTTTCTCAAAACCACATAAAACCAATGTTTACTTAAAATTCAAGTAAATTATGCAAAAGTACAACTTATCAAAGCTCGATTTTTGAATTCGTATAACTAATTGCGGATAAATATAATCAAATAGAGGATAAACATCTTATTTTAAAATATAAAAAATCTAAAATATAATTAGGATAATTATCGAGTTCTAACAAAATAATTAATTGTTATCTTTATAAGAAAATTATATTATTAAACCAAATATAAATTACTTCGTTATTGTACCTAAATTAAATTATAATAAAAAAATTGAATTAAAAAATTATATAAAAAATGAGGAAATTTAAATAGTTAATTTGATACGAATATCGATATATTTTTGTTATGCATAAAGTACTGTATATAGATGCATATTACTTAAAATTCAAGATTACAAGTAATTATGCATAAGTACAACTTATTAAAGCTCGATGTTTGAATTCGTATAAATTACTGTGGATAAACATAATCAAATAGAGGATGAACATTCCATTTTAAAATATAAAAAATCTAAAATATAATTAGAATAATTATCGGGTTCCAACAAAATAAATAATTATTATCTTTATAAAAAATTATATTATTAAACCAAATATAAACTACTTCGTTCTTGTACATAAATTAAATTATAAAAAATTAAATTAAAAAATTACACAAAAAATGAGGAATTTCAAATAGTTAATTTGATACTAATATCGATATATTTTTGTCAAATTTTTATGATATTTTCAAACATATATTTTATTCAAAAATAAAAACATCATCGTTTTCTCAATATCACATAAAGTCATATTATAACATCGACTGAGATAAAAAAATAAAATGAAATATTAAAATCACGATGTATCTCGCTGCATTACGCGAGTACGCTTCTAGTTAATAAAAAAGAAAATAAATTTTGTTAATTGAAACATTAAAACGTACATGACATGATTTTATGGAAAATTAAATGGCCCCTACAAGGCTACAACTACAAGTGACATGAGAAGTCACATTTTTAGTCCTTCAAACTATGTTTTTTTTTTCTTTTTTCTTAAATTAATGTTTCAAGTTTCAACCCCTTATCTTTACTTTTCAATCAATTTTTTTTACAAAACAAGACCAAGATTTCTGAATTTACAAAATATATCTTTTGTGAATAGAATATGATTTCAGTGGATTTTTTTAAAGTCAAAATACGCATTTTATAAGTCAACCCCACAATCATATCTAATTTTAAAAAACGCTTCACAATTTATAAAAATGAGTTGGGGTGTATGTGGGTTGGGTTCGGCAGTTTTTGACATTTTTGCAACTCAACCCAACTCATCTTATTCAAAAGTACAATCCAACACCAACCCAACCCTTGCGAGTTGTGGCAGGTTGTGCGGTTTACATAAAATTTAGGAATGAAATATGATAAATACTATTAAAAATATACAAAATGAAGCTATTAGTTGCTACAATCATATATATATATATATATATATATATATATATATTAAAGTCCTTAAGTCTTAGAATTAAATTTTAAAAGTCTAAATAATAGCATCCAATTCAAATCATCAATCAAGCACGATTGTGTTGGACCTCTCTGCAAATAATCTAAATGAGTCTAAATTACGGCCGTTGGTACTAAAGACGGACTCACATGCTACGATAGATATAGGTATAGAAATATTTGTAGTCCACGCACATCTTTCCAAGTTATTTTTTCTTTTTCTTCTAAATTAGAAGTAGACTAGTTTTTGGTATTTCACGTCGCGTGATGACTAAAATTCATGTTGAAAAAAATTATAAATTATTTTAATTGATTATTTTAATAAATTTAGAACATATTGTAAAGTTGTATACGATATTTTTAATGATAAAATTGAGTGTAGTTGGAAATTATTATTCTCAATTTAGCATATAAAAAACTGGTATAATTATTAAGGTTATAAAATATATTAGATGGTGATGGAAATTACTAATAACAACCATAGTTTAAATATCTATTATATAACATACAATTTAATTAATATAAAGATGGCGTAAAATTGATGTCATACTTTTCTTTTTCAACAATTTCATAAATTATGAAACTAACTTGAAGTTTTATTACATAGGGCACATGGAATCGATTATATAGAATTATTCTTTTCATTTTTAATGTGTATAAGAGATTTATCATCTTCATTCACTTCATATATTACAATTTCATTCTCTATAACATTGACGAGAGTGGTATCGATCCCATTAGATTGTCTTGTAGCATAACTTCATTGTTGATATTGTCAAGTTGTATAAAGTAAATAGCTAAATTTATTAAAAAAACAGTTAATCTATTTTCAATTGTGATTAATTAAAAATAGATGAAGGTCATAGAGACAATAGCATCAATTGATTAACCAAAGTTTATACTTTCTTAAAATCTGAATTTCTCAAATGCAACATTAATTACTAAACTAAATGTAGATTTTAGTGTCATTTTTGCTAGTAACAATGTCATATCATAATAAACAATATTCAAATATTCTATTAGCATCGTGGTGAGTTTTGAGAAAGAAAGAAAGAAAGAAACACAAAAATGAGAATTTGGGTAATAATAAATCATGAAATTACAAACAAAATCAATTTTAAATTGAGATCGAAATAGTAGTAGTGGACTGAATGACTTGCGTGTATAATCTATATGTACATTGTCCATGAAATTTTCATGTTCTTCAACATTTTCAAATATCTTCATAACTTATTTACACAATAAAATAGATGTAACACGAAATAACAAATCCACACCTTTGATTGATCAAATATAGTAAGAGAAAGTGTGAAAGAAAAGTTGTTTGACAACAGACCAAACCAATAGGTAACCAACACCACCTCTACCTTCGCAATAACCACCACCACCACTACCTCCACCACATAGGTCACTACTACCTCATCTACCATGGTTGACGACGACCACCACCACTATCCATCGTCTTCACATCCTCCACAACCATTGTTGTTTTAACAATCTTCACCGTACCTTAGTCAATTGATAATAATCTTCTAAACCGAATAAAACATAAGTTCTTCCCTTTTTATGAATCGGGTTTTTTTTAAACTACCATCAACTATATCAAAATTTTCATGCAATTTTGGTACTATTATATATGTATGTATTTATGTATACGAGAATTATGTAAAAATGTTTATAAATTAAATTATTTACTTTATTTGTGTTAATTACAATTATTATATGGTATATAAAATCATCAAATAACTTTTGAGAACAACTTGTCTAGTTATGTCATGTTCAATCCCAGTGGTGCCAGACGTATACTTGTTCTGTCCAGTCTTATCCCGTCCAGTTATACCCTCTTGTCATTTCTTGTCCAGTCTTGTTCTGTCCTGTCATGTCTAGTCTTGTCCAATCATGTCTGCATACCAAATGCTACATTAGAGTCTTATGTCATTAGTCGAGGCGTGGACAAGTTGCCCCAAACATTCACAATTACCCCAAAAAGAGTATTGAATTTTTTGGATGTATGAAAGTGTTATGTTTTGGATATTCCTCAATAGTTCCAAAATTTTTAACCGCATGCGTTAATGATCTATTGTAATGACAATCAAATACGATAGTTTTGTCAGCCTTTTTCTTATCAGCATTAGTGCCTGATTTAAAGGCTAGATTCTTCATAGTATTTCTATAAGAAAAGAGCTTTCTCCTACCCTTTATATCTAATCTAGTGCAAGATATATTTCCCTACTTCATAATTCGCAATTATCAGTTACATTAGCCTAAGTTTCAGTATGTTAACCTTTCTTTCGCTGTTGGTTCTTATTTTCTCTAGGTATGCTTGCTTAGCATGTTCGTCTTCCTTGTATGTCTAGATTTTTTTTTTACCAAAAGAAGTTAACAGTTCAAATTTTAAATTTCATCTTTTTAATTGCAGCTCCTTGATTAGGAACTTTTGGATCAACATTCATATATCTTTGTCACAGGTATATCTGCTATTTTATATGCTTATTTTGATTTCAATACTTTTTGATATGCAATTTGAGGATCTTTCCGGGACTTTAAATTTTTTGTTATTGGGTACGATTTAAATCTAAACAAGTATATCTTGATTTAATTTTGTATCATTTAGGAAGGGTTAGAACAGACCAAGCATGAGTTGAGATTATCGAGCCCAATTTTGGGCGAAAAGGGAATCCAATTTTAGGCTAGGAATCGTTAAGATGGGACAAAGCTTGACGACATTTTCTCATTCTTTTAAGTTAAAAAGATTTTTCAATTACATATCTATTATCTCATAACCATATCGATTAAACGATTTCATCTAGTTTAAGTAATTATTTCACATAAAATATCAGCAATAATCAAAATATTAAGATTATTACATTAAAATAAATATTTTCCTCTTTCTTTCCGTCATGGATTGACATTTATGTTGGTTAAATCAATTAAAATTAAACAAATACATAATTGATATATTATTGTGTAGGACCAAAAAGTACCCACTCGATTAAATAATTAGTGTATATATTTCAATTATAATTTGCCTTAAAATTAGGGCCGTATTTTAGCATGTTAAATGTGAGATTCTAAACAGGGCATTCAAAATTTTGGGGCCCAAATTTACATGTGTTTAGGGTCAATTTATCGACCTGTGTAAAACTATATCCGGAATTATTTAGGTTCAAACCATTAATTGTTTGATTTTAGGTTCAAATTATTAATGGTTTAGGTTTAGTTTCAGATTGTTAATTGTTTTTGGTTTAGCCCATTTTTGTTCTTAGCATATATTCTATGTTATTTTATTTGTGCAATGTAATCAAAAGTTTTGGATATAACAGAGCCTCTAAAAAGATTGGAACGTCTCTACTTAAAATAAGGAGTTTTTAAGAAGTATGTGTTTTATTTTTACATTCTACTCTTAACTATAAGATGACGAAGACTTATCCCTTTATTATTAAGAGTAAAAATGTCTTTTAGTGAATTAAAAAGTCTGATAATTACATATTTCTAAAATAATGTGTCATTTATATTATGGACATATATTATTGGACGAAGATGGTATAAAAAAGTTAATGTATTTTCACAGTTTTTCAATTACATACGCAAAGAATTTATTTTTAGAATATCAGTTACGTTACCTTTATTTGATTTTTAATTAAATTACGTGACATATTATCAATAATATTTTCTCAGCCAAATTGTTATTTCTCTCATTTTTTACGCCAAGTCGAATGTTGGTTTGCTTAACATCAGGCAAAAATGATACGATCGATATAGTTATAAAAAAATTACATCTGCCTAGTATTATTTATAATAATAATAAATCGTATCAAAATCAAACTTGCTTCTTAATTTGGAAAACAGACTTTCAAAAACTCGACTTGGTATCTATAATCTCAAATAGGGAAATTTAATGAATTTTTTCTCTTGAAATATCTTTTATATGTTCCCTTTTTTGTCAACGAAATCATAATATGTTTTATTATCGTATCAAATGCATAAAACATTTTCTAGAAAACAAAACAATTTTTTTTTTAATTTTAATATAATTTTTTCTTATAAAAATCATGGGTGTTAATTTTGTGCAAAAGCAAAGTTAGCCAATATACGTACCAACATAATTGATACAATTAAAGTCAGATGATAGTTTGTACCAAATATGCAAACTTGGTTGGTAAACGGTATTGGAAGTTACATACCATAACACCAACTTACTTATTGAGTATTAAGCATTGTATCTTTAACTATTTTGTTTGAACATTTGAATATTTGCATGTTTTATTCATTGCAATTAAAAACCCTTAAATATCACACATGTTACTTGGAAACTAAAATGTGACTCAAAATATGAACAAAACGACAAGTTTTCATGTATGTAACTTGAAGTTGGTATAAAACCAATACCTATATGTACCAACTAAAAAAAGTTGGTACCAAATATAATTGGTTGATGCATAATATAAGATTTTGCATTGGAATTATATTGGTACACGAGTATTAGAGAAAAAAAACTTGATATTGTACCAAGTCCATTATATTGGTACACGGGTATTAGAGAAAAAAAACTTGATATTGTACCAAGTCCATCTCCAATAAAATGAAATTAATTTAATTCAGAGGATGTTTGAGATTGCTTATTTTAAAACAACTTATGTTTTTTTTTTTTCTTCATAAAAGTTCTTATCAACTTATATGGTGGCAAATCAGAGTTTTATAAAAAAAATGTTTGGATTAGCTTATAGCAATGCTACACCGGATAAACTGATAAAATAGATAAGATACCATTTTTTCCTATCCAAATACTAAAAGCTCTTTATTACCGGTACTGTAACAGAATAAGTTAATAAGTTAGAAGATAGTAATTTATCAAGAACTCCTTATTACTGGTGCCAAATCAATATAATTATTTTTTTTACTGAAACTTCTTATTACCAGTACCACATCGCAATAAATTAATAAATACTTTAAATAAACACAAACACCCCATTGATGTATTTCATGTTTATAATTGGGCCTAATGGACTAAATGAAGCCCATGAATTCAATGGGCTAAAGTCGGCGAAATAAGAATTGTGGTGCACGCTTTGGTTCAGAGAGCGATAGATATCGAAGCGAGTGAGAGAGAGGACAAAAAAGCGAAAAATTACGTTCGAAAAAGTCGAGTTGCAAACCCTATCGATCGAAAAAGGGGAGGAAAAGGATCGAATAGCAAAAACCCTAACAAATTAGCAGCGCGCTGTTTTCGCCCCTGCTTTATCTCTATCTCGATTGAGCCCTAACGGTGGTGAGTTAATCGGTTACTTTGTTGTTTTTGTTCATCATTTGACTTTTTGCAATGTCTCTAGGTTTTCCTATGAGCATTTCTTTGCAATTCGAAGATGTGTACCCGTTTTATCGATCAATTGTGGTATTTTGGTTTTTTTAACCCTTGAAAGTTAGTGACATGGAATGGGTGACAGAGATATGCGCCATGAACTACTTGGATGTCTTGAAGAGAAAGTGCGTTGAATGAATTAAATGTGATTGCTTTGTAAACCCTAGTGAATTGTAATGTTTTTTTGAATTATGTCCTTATAGGATGTTAGAGTTTAGAGGAACAAGGATGGTTCCATCAAATGCTACATTGAGAAAGTAGTTTTGGCTGTCGGTAGTTTTTTTGCCCTCTAATGTTACCTGCTAGTATACTCTTAGAGATTTAGCCATCATCAGAACATTATATCTTCGCATTGACCTTTTTTTAACATGGGTACACATTCTTATTGGCTTCATAATTCTGTACCTGCCAATATTATTGGGAAATCCCCAAGCATGGTTGTGTTCTTTGTAATGTGGGTGAAAAATCATGGATTAAAATTTCCAGTGGGATCTTTATGAGTAATTGATGTCTGCTCTTCAACTCTGTTTTGTTTCATTGCTGCAATATTGTATACTTGGTTGTGAATGCTTAAATACATCAATCGATAATTGATAGCTGTAGTTTGACCTTCTGTTTTAGTATGTGAGTAATGTTCAATGCATGTTAGGCTGTTAGACTCTTAGCAAAAGAAATTGTGGTGGTGCACGTTGTTGATGGGTACATGGCTTCCCTCTTTTTGCTGCATATGGATTTTGGTGCCCGTAATCTTTGAGATTGTCCGAAGTTTTACTTTTGCATTCGTTCATTGTAATATAGTGCCATCTTTCACTGTAATCTTCGCATATCAGCCATTAGTTGGATTATTCATCTTCTGTTTTCTATTCAATGTTTTGCCATCATGGTGTCAATAATGCAGCGGCTGTCGCTTTTTTATATAAGATTTGATTGCTCTACGCTTTTGAGAACCTTGTGATGTCATTCTTGCCCCAGCAATCTTACCTGAACTAGAACACTATAAAACCTTACTAACTGTTTAGATGTCTTTTGGTTTCCGTTCCATGGATTGAACATTCACATCCTTTTAAACTCGATCTACTCTTATGCAAACTTTATTGTATGTTTGTATCTTGGTTTTGGGATGTGAGGTTCCTCTCATGCAGTTGAAACCACATATTAGGTGTTTTATCTATTTGAACTTTGACTAAGATCCCAATGACTGTGGTAAAATGCGTCTTCTTGTTCTTGGTGGTTTGACAATTGTGAATTAGAATTGATAAGATTCCGTCTATGCTGATGAAATTCAGTCTATAAGAATTGGACCAATATGGTCTTGGCCCTAAATACTGCAAATCTTACAGTTATTCCAAATGATTGCCGATTCTAATTGGTTCTCGTATCTTTTTTGGTTCCAAACAAGACAATTATCTATGCATGGAATGATAAATTTTGTGGTTATTTATTATCAGTAGTAATTCACCATCCATTTGCAATTTTGCATATCTAGAGTCCATTTTGGTCTTTGGAAATTCAAACCAATCAATTTTAAATTTCAAAAATCATTGTAGCCTTGTAGGTGATTTTAGTTTTTAGGTCCAAACTTTTTTTGATTGTAATACTTCCACTAGGATTAAGATAGTTATCAAAACCATCTCTAAAACCAAATCAATTCTTATAATGGTGAGTTGTGAGCTTAAGAAGTAAACATATTTGAGACAAGAGTCAAAAGTCTATAGTTTTGGGATGGAGCTTATTATTGTTATTTCTAGGTAACTAGGAAGTATTGGTGTCAATAATTATGGTGTCAATAATTATGTTTGTGATGATTAGCCATTATATTTATTGGAGATTTCTTTGTATGTTAAATCAATGTAGTAAGTTGAACTTGATGGAATAGAAGGAACTGCCCTGAACGAAGAAAGTTTTCCTCAAAATCCATTAGTGTAACTATTATCATGCCATATTTTTGTGGATTTGAGAAACCATGAAACAAGATGTATGAATTTCTAAATTTGAAAGGAACTTTCATACAGGTGTCTCATTGTCTTGTAGAAATTGTAGGCTTTTACCACAACTTGGGCCTTGTGACGTTGCATGATGTATCTTTTTCTACTGTTAAGTTCTTGCTTGTTTTTATCTCATATCTGCTAAAGTAAACAAGTTTTTGGAACGCAATTGTAATGTATTAGTCATACTGTCATAGTTGTTCAAAGCACATCTGAGGCACTCCTAGACTTCTGAGGCTCATAAGGCTCAAGGTCATGGGCTTTTCTAAAGTTGAGGCTAGACGTATTTATGAGGCTCACTAAGGCCCTGCGCTTTGGCTGAGGCGCCTTGTGGGCCTAGTCGCGCCTCATAAAGAGTTATTAAATACCAAGTCAAATCCCGAAATTAAATAAGTTCTCTCATCATTTATCTTCTCGACTTCTTAAAAGAAGAGTTATTAAGCAGATGATATAACAAGTCAAACCTAATATTAAATACCCAGTTCTTATAACTTCAAGCCTCTTTCTCTATAAATACCCAGATCTCAAAACTTCTTCCTCAGGGCTTGCTTTAAACCCTTTTCCCTTATGCCTCTGGAGTACTTGCTAGTTGCTACATATTTGAGTGTGTATAACTGTGTTTGTGTATATATATATGTACTTATTTTATAAGATGCGCCTCACGCCTAGGCCCTGGGATCCCCTTTGCGCCTTAAGCCTTTAACAACTTTGGAATTAGTATTTTTGTTGTAAGTAGTTAAAATGCTATACTGTTTTAATTAGACAGTAATAATTAATTACATAGACCTCACATCCTTTCTCTAGCACACCTTGCAACCCTCTTTTTTCTCTCAACCCATCTTGCCTAAACTCTATGTTATGTTTCCTGGTTTTAAAACTCGGATATACTGACCGGGGGGCCGAGTTGAAAGTAAGGCTTTAAGCGAATTAAGATGAACTCTGTTTAGCCCTCACTGGTGAGAAATAGCTATTTCCTATTCTTTTTACATCAACAATATCCGACTATTTGTGATGTGTAGCTTGATGACAAATGCACATGGTTATAAATTTGTAAGAATCTAACTGATTCTCATATGAACAAACAAATCACTAGCTTGAGATGTTTGATGGTCTTAATATTGGATGCTATAGAACTATCACCAATAATCGCTGTTGCTTGCAGCTCATTCTATCTCCAGTCTTTTGTGGGTATCTGACTCTGAAAACATTGCAGGGAGCTGGAATTTGCAATGTCTCCGTCTAGGTCGAAGTCCAAGGATAAAAGGGCTGCTGGCAAAGAGCTACTGAAATCTTCTGCCAAATCCGCAATAATTGCAAATACTGGTGGGGGTATTCCTGCTAGTGGTTACAATCCACTTCTGGGGACTTTTCATACACTTGAGACAGCACCGGTTTCTGGTGTTCCACCTGTTCATGTTAATGGTCGTTTTCGTGATATTGATGATGCAGATGATCCTAGTGGGAATTCTGTTGGTATAGGTGTGGAATATGATTGCGTGTCTAACAATGGTAGCTGGTCGGGTGAGTCTGAAGATCCAAAAGATAAAGCTTTTCAAGGGCCCTTTCGCCATGAGGCAATACATGGGGTTGACAGTGACAAACGAGAAAAAATCCGTCAAAAAAATGAGAAAAAACATCAGCGACAAAAAGAGAGGCGAGCTCAGGAACTACATGAACGCTGCTGTGGGTATCTAATGTCAAGAAAGCTAGAAGCACTTGCTCAGCAGCTTGTAGCAATGGGATTTTCTTCGGAACGTGCAACAATGGCTCTTATTTTGAATGAAGGAAGAGTAGAGGAATCAGTTGCGTGGTTGTTTGAAGGAGGCGATGATGCAGGCAACCAAAGAGAGCATAATAACCTTGACGGTGGTGGCAACCTGAAAGTCGACATCTCACAGGAGCTCGCTCAAATTGTAGACATGGAAGTTAAGTTCAAATGCTCAAAACAGGAGGTTGAACGAGCCATTGTTGCGTGTGAGGGTGACCTTGACCAGGCAGCAGAAAACTTGATAAAACTCCAAAAGCAGGAAGCTCACCCTGGCCCACTTAAGACCGAGGGAACTGGTGATCCTCCTACCGAGTGCGGCAGTGGTAAACCTTCGGTAGCCGTTAGCCAGATCTCGTTAACTTCAAAGGTACAATCAAAACGAACTTCTGTTCTTCCTATACAGCAGAAACTGGATCACAAAGATATACAGTTGAACCAGGGAGCAAAAAATATACAGTTGCTGAAGAAAGTTCAACCCAATTCAGACTGGGCAAAACAGCAGCAGCAGGCAGCGGTTGCCGCTCCATCTATAGAAAAAAGGTGGGTGGTAGGCGGGTTGAACCCTTCTGTTTCCTATTCGTTGGCATCTCCACTGCATGCTGCACCACCACCATCAAAAACAGAATCACAATATGCCACCAGTGTCGGAAATGAATTCAAGAACCTTCAGCTGGGGTCAGTGAGGGAACCGATTATAATGATGCAGCGGCCCCAATCAAAGCATATCCCAACCACAAGTATGAGCTCGGTTTCTTCATCAGTTGGTGACTGGAATTCTAATGGTGTGGTTGAACCGATGATGGGTATGAATCCGAATGGGTTCACTCATCTTCCTACCACCACAAGAAGCTTCAGCACCCCAAGCTATGGAAGCAGTATGAGTAACCAGTTGTATGACCAGTTCCATTACCACCAGCAGCCGCTACTCCCACAGCAGCAGTATGCTGCCAGCAGCGGCGGCATGTTGGATCATCGTAGTAGTCAACCGGTTCCTACAAACCATAATGGTATGTGGAACAGAATGGTGGGGCCTACTCCAACTCTGGCAGCTGCTTCTTCTCTTGGGTTGTTCTCCGGGAATGGCGGGGGGGCAGGGACGTCTCAGGTGGATTGGAACGGTGACTGGTCGTCGCAATTTGATTACACCAATATTGACTGGAGTTTAAATAGGCTCCCTTCTCCAGTGAGGGGCAGTTGGTTAAGACCAAACGGGATGTGGTTGGGTGGTGATGTTTCCGCAACCGGAAGGAGTGCGGTAAGACCGACAATTGTAGGGAACGGGAATGATGCATCTGGTGGAGGTTCTCGTGAATGGACGTCTCCTTTTGAGGAGAAAGACCTGTTCAGTTTACCTCGACAGTTTGTTTCTTCCCCCTCGCTCTAGTCCAAACACTGTATGAGGGGGGTTTGAAAGAATAAGATTAAAAAGAATGAAAAATTAAAAAGAAAACATGAGTTGAAAAAAACTGTGTGTTTGTTGATCTTTTTTTTTTCTTTTATTTTCTCAATGATGCTTATTTTTTATCTTTACTTGCCTCGTAAAAGGGTTAAAAAGTCGCCTTGGGTTTTACTTCTCAAAATGGTCCTTGGATGTGCCCAGAAGCTGATGCAAACATCATAAAAAAAAGTCTCTCATTTCATGAAATCCTACATTTATTTTCTTTGCTGCAAAAAGGCGATGACATTGCCATGTCAAATGGAAATAATCTTGACACAAATTTTGTTAGGGAGAACGATTCAAAAAATATGTATTATTCGAGTTTCATGTGAGATAACCTGTTTGGGGTTGAATCTGGAGGCCACCAATTCTAGTGTATTGTTGATTGACCTGCTTTTTTGTTACTAATGGGAATCGTTCTATCTATGGGTTTTCTTTTTTTTTTTTGTTGTTTTGGATTTCGAGTGTACATGATGGTTTGGAGTGTAAGTTCTACCCATTTGATTTTAATGTTAAAATGTGGTTTGGTTATTGAGTATTTCTCGGTTGGTTCTGAAAAAATATTCATTTTATGTAATTACGCATTCACATGGGAAAAATATGGTTTAAAGAGCACTCTTCCATTATTTTCATTTTATGCTTGAAATGAAATCCCTGTTGAACTTATTAGGCTTTAAGTCAACACTTTTTCTTGTCGGCTTGTGCATGAAGTTCTTGTGGGGAYAATATTTGTGACAATTGAAAAAAGTTSAGAGCTAATTAGAACACTTTTTCTTGTCGGCTTGTGCATGAAGTTCTTGTGGGGACAATATTTGTGACAATTGAAAAAAGTTGAGAGCTAATTAGAACACTTTTTCTTGTCGGCTTGTGCATGAAGTTCTTGTGGGGACAATATTTGTGACAATTGAAAAAAGTTGAGAGCTAATTAGAAGCACGAGAAGGACTTCACATTTTTGGGACATCTTCTGTACTTTGAAGGTAGCAACTTATGCATCGATTTAGTAGTGATCATCCGGTACCTAGTTCTGGTATAAGGTCAGATTTGAAAGTTATCAACCTTTAAATTGGTTTTGCTAACTCAATCATCCTATTTGAGATTTAATTTGGAGTGATTATAACTATTTTGGGGTGTTACACGTAGGGCTGTAAATGGGACGAGACAACTCGTGAGCTATTCAAGATCGACTTGGTCAAAGTTGGTAAACACTCAACTCGACATACTAACAAATAAGTCGAACTACCCGATGCTTAACTCAAAAAGCTCGTGAGATACTTAATTTTTTTAATATAGTTTTGTATTGTAATTTGTAAAATATTAAGTACAAATATATTAACAAACCTACCAATAAAAGAAAATATCATCTTCTTTTAGATATGTGAACAAAACTGTATATGTTTGAACTATACAAATTAATCAATCATTTTTTATTTATTGAAGTCAGTTATATACAGAGATTTGTGTTTTGGTCTTTGATTTTCATGTTTCTGGTAATTTTTTGTGGTTTGGATTTTTTTTTAAAATTATGTGAAAAATTAGTGTTTTGATCCATTTTCGTTAATTTTTTGTTTTTTTTGTATTTTTTTTTAAATCGCTCAAAAGGCCCAACCGATTTATACTTGGCCCAAACTTTTTTTTCTTTCTCGCACAGTGATGAGTGATCCATCAAGTTTCTTGACCAGGTCCATTTTCCTTGCTCATCATTTCTAGATCAAACATAGGCCTAAGCGATTTCTAGTTACATCGCTCAAACAACCGACAGTTTCAGTCGGATTTGTTTTTAAATCGATTAAAGGGAGTATCCGAATTTGTTTGAAATCGCTTAAGATCATCCAAAAGGTCATCCGATTTGGGGAACACAGAAGTCCTTCCTTCATCCGATTTAGTAAATCGCTAATCTCATCTTCTCCGGATTCATAAATCGATCAAATGCTTGATCGGTTTCTGCTTAATTCGCTCATTGTTCCATCCGGTTTTGCATAACTCGCTCAAAGAATCGTCCGATTTAAAGATTTATCGGACACCTCTTCATCCGATTTGAGACTTAACCGTGTTCTAGGTAAATCGCCTTGTTTTGAGCATCTTCATCGCACAACAGGTTCTTTGCACAGGTTTGACTTGCTCATATGGTTGTCCGATTTAAGCCAGATCGTTCAAAGGTTCACAGGTTAGTTTTGATTTTGGACAGATTAGTGGTGGACCATACTAAGCTGTTTATCGCTCATTGTTTCTAAATTGGACGCTCAACAGTTTCACAAATTTGGCTTTGGTCGATTATCCCTTCACAAGTTTGACCGAATTCAAGGAACAGTCTACCTCGTCTATTTTGGCCTAAATCACTAAGCTGTTAGATTTGATATAAGATTAAGAGCTTCGAGTCGTCTGTTGAATCATTCAAGTCTGTGTTTGCACAGAACTGTGATATCCCTGCGGAACAGCCGCGTTTGATTTATAAAGGTCGCATTCACAAAGACGACCAGACTGTTAAGAGCTACGGTGTGGAGGCAGAGCACACTATTCATTTGGTTCGTGGTTTTGTACCTGCTGCATCAATTAACTCAGCAGAAGATAATGATAAAGATGCATATAAAGATGAAGATGATTCTGGGTTTATGATTCTGAGTTTATGATTATGAGTTTATGATTCTGACCTTCTGGTTAGGAATTGATCAAACGGCCAGGCACTGCATGTCAAGGGAGAAGTCAGATTCAATACTTAAAGTCGTCACAAACAATTGATCAAATAGAAAAGGAAGTTACATCTACTTTGGTGATGGATTCCTTATACAGTGGACTAACATTACTTTGGTGATGGATTCTTTCACACAAACTTGAACTGTTGGAATTAAAGGATGATGCAGAGCTCAACTGTAATAAAGCAACAGTGAGCCAGGTTGTCTGGTGTGATTGACTGTTTTAACCCATTTACTGATGGTGTGATCTTATTCAAGAACTTTTGGTCGATTCAGCCTTACCATTCTGTTTTGTGTTTGAGTTGTTTGCTGTTAATATTTGGTGTTGATGATTGTTGTTGATGTTTGCTATTGATATGTGCATCACGTAGAGTTCCACTGTTGCACTCTAGTTGTTCGTATTAGGTTCTGCTTCTGGGTGGGGATACTTGAATGATTCAGCTGTTGTTAAGGTTTATGAGATACTAACAGGCGTCAAAGTTGAAGGAAAAATTACTGTCATTAATGAAACAACTGTTTCCATTATTTTGTGGTAATTGATTTTGAGGCTACATGTGACAAGGAAAGGAACCCTCATCTCCAAGAGATCATTGAATTCCCTTCAGTGATAGTGAGTAGTGTGACTGGTCAATTGGGAGCTTGTTTTCAAACATATGTGTGTCCAACATGCAATAAGCTTCTAAGTGATTTTTACAAGGATTTGACTGGAATACAGCAAATTCAAGTGATTTTTACAAGGATTTGACTGGAATACAGCAACTTCAAGTGATTTTTACAAGGATTTGACTGGAATACAGCAAATTCAGGTGGACAGAGGAGTTACTCTTAGTGAAGCTTGGTTTATCTCTCAATTATTTTTTTTTCCTGTTTTGGGCCTGATTTTGTTTTGTTTGGGTCTCATTTAAATCTCTTCAATTTTTTTTAGCCCAACTGTAACTTATTTTACCTTTTATTTTTTTCTAGTTTTCAAATATTTTTTTGATCATTTTTTTAACTAGTTTTGAGCTTAATTGTTTTTTATTTCTTCGAATTGATTTCATCGTATTAGATCTTTTGATCAATCTATTTTGAAATGGCAACTTTTGTCGAAAGGGAATATAAAGAGCTTAAAGAAAAATACGATAAACTAAATTCTGAGCTTAACAAGAATATATCGTGGACAATTCGTCTTACTGACTGTAATGAGAGAGAGAGAAAGAAGAGGAGAGTTTTGCAAGAAAACCTGAATGATCTGATGAAGATTATTTCTGATCCACAAGAGACAGTAAGATTGAAGAAACAGATTGAGTATTTAACAGCTAAACTGCATAAATCTAAATTGCAAATTGACTCTTTTGGGAGGAATAATAAAGAGACTGACTTATATGATAAAATTCATAAGACTGAATGTGATCTGTTTGAGTCAAGAAAATTATTGGAGCTAGTGAAAAATAAAGTTTTAGATGTTGAGAATGTTTTAAATGCTGAAAGGAAAGATATGGACAAAGAGAAGAAGAGAGTGATTGAATTAGAGAAAAAGTTTGGTGCTGAACGCATATCTTATGGAAATAAGATAAACTCTCTCGAGCTGAACGCGAAAATGCTTTTAAAGCAGATCTCTGATTTTGAGCAGTTGATTATCTTGGAACGAGCCGATAGATAAAGAGAAGAACGATATCAAAGAAGAATGTCTGAGCCAGACTCAGAAACTGTCTGACAGTATTGCTCTAAATGCTCTAAAGTTGAAGGCTTTAGATGAAGAGAAGAAGCAATTTGCGCTTGAAAAGAGAAATACTACAAAGAAGTATGCATCTATTGCTAAAGAGCTTGTTGAAAAGAAAAAATGGCTCGACATCGCTTCTGAGAATGAGAAGAGCAGCTCAGATGAAGAAAGAAGAGAGTTTAATAATCAGAAGAATAAATTTGAAATGCTTAAGAAGGAGTTAGAAGGTAAACTCCTGGATACTTCAAGAAAATTGTTTGATCTGAAGACATAACTTGAAACTGAATTGAAGATGAGAATTGAACTAAAAAATAAGTATGATTTAGTTGCTGATGAATGAGACCAGCTTTTAAAGAAAGTCAAAGACTTTTCTTGTGCTCAAAGCTCAACTGGTTTTAGTTCTCCTTCACAGTGTAAAACCAGCTTTTATGATTGTTCCAAATCTAATAGTTATTCATGCAGACCTAAATCAACTGTTTCTAAGAACTATTCTCGTTCTTCAATCAGTACTATCAAGGGTATGTTATCGGATCACCCAATACTCATTCAAAAGTTAAAAGCATTTGGGTAAATAAATCTGAATCTGTTTCATCTCGTACCCCTATTGTTACTAACAATAATCTTCC